AGTGGAGAGTACTCTCCGACGGCAAACGCTACAATGTTTTGTCATTCGCCGAAATTGGCATCAACAGCAATTTACTCGCACTTGTTGAAAAATCGAAGGTACCAGAGGTCCAAAGGCTTTCGGGGCACTGGGAGCGGGTCATTGGTGAAGGAGGGATCTACTTAACTCAAAGCCAAAATATTACTTTTCTATCTGTTTTTCTCTTCGTTTTATATGAATAAGATCTTCGGCACTTTTGAATGGGATGACCTAATAGGAGCGCACTAAAATTATACAAAACCTTCTCCTTTTCAAAACCTATCTTCGTTGGGGGATCGTTGACGTAATTTTGAATCACTTCCAGATTTCATACTTTCAGCAGTTTTATAGGCGGCCACCTGCGATGCTGCAATTCAGGAAATTTCCTCCTTCCCGAAAACTCCCTCAGCTTTTCTGTTGGACTACATGTTCAAAAACTCTCTCGTCATACAGTTGTTGTAGAAAACTGCCAGAATCTTGGAGAACTCACTGCTTTAGCACCATAGCATTTAAAATCGTTTGAGAACGAAAGCCTGCGTCCATACTTTGCGGCAGCTTCCCCCGCCAGCTCCATCAGCGACCACTAGTGTTCCGAGTATGATAACGTCAGCGACTAGCAAAGTATAGATATCGGTCTAGCGTCTGACAGCGTTCATCAGCGACCGGGAGCAGAGAGTATGGGGAGTGGAAGGAGGGTAGCAAACAACTGGATTAGGCGTCGTGAAATTGGCGGCATGTGCAACCGCACCGCGTAACTGCTAAAGCACAGGATTATGCAATTTAATGTAAAGTGAAGAGTAGTTGTACGGTGCGGTTGCACACGCCGCAATTTCTTCTTCCAAACTTCTTTTCTTCTTCTTGAACTTCTTTTATCTTGACTTCTCTTATTCTTCTATTTTGAATATAAGAAGTCAAAATAAAAGCTTCTTTTATTTTGCTGACTGCTGTTTATGCCGCACTTCGCCGCGCTGAAACCAAAAGTTAGGAGTGCTGAGTTATGGGCAAAAGTCTTAGCCCTTGCAGTACTCGAAACCTCCATAGAACTACGTGACCCACTTAGCGTTAACTGATTGCTTTTCCCTATTACCCCACTCGTTCCGCTCACGTACAGAGGTGTTGGGGAGATGAGAGTTCTATGTAGTGTTTGCCCTTGAAGCGAGATCTGTCTATAGAGTTCTAAAGGGAATACCAAAACTTTACTATCTTCCGTTCGATTACTCTACAGTACCGTCCAGTCTCTGCGCTTCTATCCCCTTTTTGAAATACGACCCTCTCGTCATGATTTTTACAACGATAACGTGACTTGGAGGCGGAGCTGGTGTAGTGGCAAGTGGCACGCGTACCATCTTGGAATCAAATCCTGGGTAGGCTCCCGCCTAGGAAAATGAGCGCTCTACCCTCCGAGAGCCATGAATTGGTACCAGATTCGTCTGGGAGGATAAAAAAAACACTGACTTGTACATCGGCTGGCCCCGCAAGTCATTGTATAGGCCACATCGCATTCAATAAGCCACTGCGATTTTGAATGGAAGTACATTCCTTATCCCTGAGATGGAGTAGGCGTGGCATTCGAACTTGGCGTAGGACTCCACTCGTGAGGTATTTCGATTTATTTTGGTACGACTACCATTTTAATCTGTGTTGGACAAAGACATGATTACAACTGTCTCAATATGAAATACCTCACGGAAAGCCTAGCCGCCTCCATCATGTTCAACATAAGAACGCAGCCACGCCTATCGCATCTCAGCGATTTCGAGTGCAGAATGCGTGTCATATCCCAAAAAGGATTGATCAGCGGCGGAGACCTCAGACTTTCCGCTATTTCCTGAAGAGGACGAGTTTGTTACCAATATTATCCCGCCTATAGCGAGTAAAGATATCCTCAGATCCCAATTATCGGGTCACCAGCGCAAGATCAAATACTGAACGAGTGAAATGGGAAACGCACGCGCAAGTAGAATATAGTGCTCGTCTCGTTTTGATGGGCATCTAGCAAAGTCTCCCAAAAGTTGGGCTGAATTCGCAGTGATCGACAGTTTCGATAGCGTGCGGAGATCCGCACAGCAGAGCGAAAACAATAATCAGATGGGCGACAGGTCCGCCGGGAAGAACTTCGCGAGAGTTAATAAAAGTGGCCTGAACTGGTTTTCGGCAGTGCAAACCAAAGAATGCTTGTGATCATGGAAGCTCGAAGGCATTCCTTAATTACTTGATGGAAAAGGTTGTCCACCCTCAGCCTCAGAGGTTGGTAAACTTTATTGACTCCACTGTGAGCGACAAGGGCGTTTGGTGTCTTGAGCCGGCGGGGTAACGCCTCTAGTAGAAGGTAGAAGGAAGTAAGTAGTAGTAGAAGGTGCTTCACCTATCTGCAGATGAGATGTGGCAGCAATCCTGTATCTACAGTCGTCATCCGGTGACTTGATTAGGGCGGCAAAAGTCGCGACGCGGCTGCA